TCTCAAGTCCCTTCATCATTAGAGCCCAGCTTGCCTTTTCCAGCCAGACTTTTTCTTTCCTCTGTCTCCCAGGCTGGATGGCAGTGGCATGATCTTTAGCCATCCTTCATGTACTGTTCACTCCAAACCCTGCCCCTCACTGTCCTCTGGTATATGTTGGGCTTTCCCATTTTTTTTTTTTTTTCCGAGATGGAGTCTCGCACTGTTGCTCAGGCTGGAGTGCAGTGGCGCGATCTCAGCTCACTGCCAACCTCTGCCTCCCAGGTTTCAGTCATTCTCCTGCCTCAGCCTCCTGAGTAGCTGAGATTACAGGCGGGTGCCACCACGCCCAGCTAATATTTTGTATTTTTAGTAGAGGTGAGGTTTCACCATGTTAGCCAGGACGGTCTGGATCTCCCGACCTCATGATCTGCCCACCTCGGCCTCCTAAAGTGCTGGGATTACAGGCTGCCCATCTCGGCCTCCCAAAGTGCTGGGATTACAGGCGCGAGCCACCGCGCCCGGCCCTCTGGGTCTTTTTTAAAGCTGTTCCACCTGCTTGGAGCACCCTCCTTCAGTCATTTCTACCCATCCTCCAAGCCTCCTCCCCCTCATCCTACCCCTAGCTGGACTCGCTCTCTCCTGCCGCTTATGCGTGACCTTCACCTGACCCTGCCTTGTTTCCATCTTTGGAACAAGCCCGCATCAGCATGCAAGAGCCAGTTTTGGGCGTCTCTTCTCAACTTCGGGTTCATCGAAGTCATTTTGGCAGTTTGAAATCAGTCCTGGTGGATTTATGCCAGGAAAGTCAGCAAATGTTTCAAATCAGGGTCCTCCCATCCCCCAGAAAGCTGGATATCAGCACAACACTGCTTATCTTCCTACTCCCTGGGCTTCAGGAGGGAAGACGGAGCTACTCTCAAGTCACTGTGTCTTCCACCAACAGCTTTTGACAGGCAGCACTCAACAGGAACTTACACTGAGTTGAAATTTAACTCGTGTGATGCAAGGGTCCCTGAAATTGGACATGAGATGGGCAAGGTAGTGGAGTCATGAGAGGGGGAGAGGCTCTGAACATTGAATGTACCAAAAACTAACCCTTTCCTCTTCCAGATGTCAAAGACCACAGGGGCTCCACCACCCTTGTGGGCTCCTGTTTTTTACCTTCCGTGTTTGAAAAATGATAATAGTTAATATTTATATATTTACATATATTTATATAATATGTATTTATATATTAACTAATAGATAATAGTTAAGAGATAATAAAACCTTTGTAAGAAATTTAACTACCCTGGGGTGGTCATCCTGAAGAGGCCATGTGTGGGCACTTTGATCAGTGTTCCAGCTGTCCCCACCAGTGCACCAGTCATGTGAGTGAAGCTCCTTCAAACCAGCCGAGTCACCTTCTAGACACTCAGGGACTGTCCTAGAGCCATGAGGAGCAGAACAATTGCCCAGCGCAGCCCTGCCCAAACTCCCAATCTGCAAAACTGTGAGAAATAGTGGAATGGGGGTTGTCTTGGGGCACTAAGCCTGGGAGTCATTTGTTACGCAGCAGTGCTTACTCAACGTACTGTGCTTCAGACACTGGGCTGGACATTTTATTCCAGTTAATCTTTATTCCAGTTAATCTTCACACCATCTTCACGGAGCAAGGCTTATTAACATCTCCTTTTTACAGATGAGGCAACTGAGGCTTGGGGAGATTGAGTGCTGTGTTCTGAATTGTGTCTTCCCCAGAATATGTATGCTGGAGCCCTAACCCCCAGTGTGACTATATTTAGAAGTAGGGTCTTTAAAGAAGTAATGAACGTTAGATGAGGCATAGTCATGAGGGTGGGGCCCTAATCTGATACAACTGGGGTCCTGAGAAGAAGAGGAAGAGATCAGAAGTTCATACGCACAGAGAAAAGGTCATGAGGACGCAGCGAGAAGGTGAGTCAAAGGGAGGGTGCGGGAGAAACCAGCCCTGCTGACACCTTGATCTTGAACTTCCAGGCTGCAGAACTGTGAGAATACATTTCTGTTTAAGCCACCCAGTCTGTGATGTTTTGTGATGGCAGCCTGAGCAGACTCACACATTGAGAGCATCCCAAGGTCATACCAATAGAGCCCTAAACCCTCACAAGTGAGGGGTCCTGCCCTGCACCCAGTACTGTAGAGGGCCTTCTCTGGCTGTGCTCTGGCCATGCCCCTCCCCACAGACTGAGGAGTCTGGGGGGTGTGGGATTATGTCTACCCAGGACCTGAGGCCTTCTGGGCCATAATTCATGTACCTGGGGCCCTGGATTTTTTTTGTATTTTTTTTAGATACAGTATTATTCTGCTGCCTGGGCTGGAGTGCAGTGGTGTGATCATAGCTCACTTCAGTCTTGACCTCCTGGGCTCAAGCAATCCTCCCACTTCAACCTCCTGAGTAGCTGGGACCACAGACACATGTCACCACACCCAGCTAATTAAAAAAAATTATTTTTGTCGAGATGAGAGCCCATTATGTTGCTCAGGCTGGTCTGGAACTCCTGGGCTGAAGCAATCCTGCCGCCTCAGCCTCACAAAGTGCTGGGATTATAGTCACAAGCCACCACGCCCAGCTAGGCCCTGGATTTTCTTCCCAAATGGCATGGAGCCTCCTCCCAGGGCCCATGTCGGTCTCCTCTCTAGGTATGTTCCCCCAAAAGTGACCTACAGCACTTAGCAGCAAATAGGTGCAGGAGCTATCAAGTGGTAGGTCTTTGTGGACGTGTGGATGGGACTTGGACTTCGGGCTGAGTGTCTGTGTGCCTGCACACAAGACCCCCTGCAATACCAGACAGAATTGTTGGGGGACAGGCAAGAGGCCGGGCCATGGCCAGAGTGAACTCTTCTTACACTGCTGTGCTCTGGAGGACTGTGCAGAGCCTTAGAATCCTGAACTCAAATCCTGCCTCACAGGTCATATATGTCAACGTAGGAACATGGAACATACTTTATTGAACAGTTGGTTTGCTTGATTTATAATGTTTAATTTTTCAGACACATGGTACTTGGGCCACCATTTGGACCCACGACCCAGGCCTGCCTGCACAGCTACCATAACTGAGCCAGGGCCTGAGCCCAGGGCCACCACATGGATTCCTCCAAGCTTATAGCCCAGAAAAGAGTGGAGACAGTGGGGTGGACCAGCTAGGAGGAGATGCAAATATTAGCACTGAAGTGTGCTATCAGCCAGGGGTGGTGGTACACACCTCTAGTCCCAGCTACTTGGGAGGCTGAAGTGGGAGGATCGCTTGAGTCCAGGAGCTCCAGGCTATAGTGAGCTATGATTGCACCACTGCAGAGTGAGACTCTGTCTCAAAACAAACAATAAAAATAAAAAAATAAGAGTAGTGCTACTAGTGCTGGAGCATCTCAAACTCATTTCTAACTTGGATCAAAGACAAGTGGCTGCAGAACCTGGTGACTGCTAGGATGCAGGCTTTGGGGACTTCAGCTGCTCATGGGACCATCCAGGTGGCAGAGAGCGTGCCTTCAGGGACCCCTCCTGACCCCTTCATGACGAGCCACTTACAGGCTGAGATGAGTGGCAGAAGGAGGAGATGAGATGCCTGCCTTGGGCGCATCCCTGGCTTTCTCTGACCCAAGAACTACATCTCACACCACAGCCTGCAGCTTCAAGTCCACGTCTGGTGGATCTGTTTGCCCCCTTGCTGGCTGGCAAAGGGTCTGGATGGTACTGGCTGGGGCACAGGCTAGGGGCTCGGGCATTGGTGCTTCCCTGGGAGGGTACTTCCCTGGGAGGTGTGTGCCTCCAGGCGAAAGGATAAATGCAAAAGATATTTGCTTAATGTGTAAAGAATCAAAGAAAGACAGAAACTCTGGGGGTAGGAAATTCTTTTCAAAATCAGTGGGGTTTTGCGTTCAGGTGGAGGCTGTGGATTTGGAGCTTTCTGGGGGCCACGTGGCAGGAGCCTGGACCTCTCAGACTGTGGCCTCTCTGGCTAGAGGCCATGTTTCCTGAGATGGGCTTGGGATGGCTTTTTCCTCTTCGTAGAAAATTCTGGGTGCATGAGGTAACCGTGTCTGGGCGAGAAGGAATGCGGCGTCGCCAGGGCATTGTCCCTCCAGGAGGTTGGGAAAAGGGCCTGTTGCTTGCCCATCTGTTTGTGAACAGGGCCTCCTTGGAGGGTGGAGAATGGGGCATTTGTGAGCAGTTTGAGGTTCATTCTTTCCGATTTTCTGGTCACTGTGAGTATCCAATTAGATGTGGGCCCTGGGGCCCCTTCTAATTCAGAGGGGGCAGTTCAGCTGGATTAGCCTGGAGAAGACCAATCCCACATTGGCCTAGCTTTGCAGACCCTGGTTCGTGCCTGGAGGAGGGCAGAGACTCGGCAGGATGCTGGGGAGACCTGCTGTCACTGCAGCCCAGAGGGGCAGACAGCAGTGCTGGCCTTCTGACTCTTGGCCTTGGAGGGAAGCCTCTGTTAGACCCAACCTGGGCAGGGCCGGGCCAGGCATTTGGGAATAAGCCACCTCCGGGGCAAATCCTGTTTCCTGCAGGGGAGCTGGGGTGTCCCTTGCTGCCATCACTTGACTTCCATTTGGGTTGTGTGGGTCAGGGGAGGCAGGACTTCACCTCACTGTGATCACACAGGAATTCTGTGGGATTTTCCACTCTTTTTCCTATGGGTGTCATGGAGCCCAACCAGGGAGGGACTGGGGACTCCAGCTTTAGCCTCTTAGGGACCTAGGGTGGTATATATGGGGCAGCTGCTTGGAGGTAAGAGTTCTGCTCCCAGCTGGCTTTCCAGCAAGCCAAGTGGAGGTTGAGTCAAGTGACTTGGGGGCGAGGGTTTGGAGGAGTGTTGAGATGACACCCTGGGAATGCAGTGACTACCTTGCCATTGTTGGAGAGGCCAGCTTAGGTTTGAGAGGCCCAGACAGGATGAATCTATTTCCACAGCACTTGCTGCCTTCACCAGTCCCTTCCCCTTCCCCTCCCTTCAGATTTCAGCTATTTATGGTTGTCATTTGTTTTCCAGGACTGCCGTGACAAACCACCATAAACCTCGTGGCCAATAACACAGAAATTCATCCTCTCATGGTTCTGAGGGCCAGAAGTCCAATGTCAAGGTGTCAGCTGGGCCGTGCCCCTCCACAGGTTCCAGAGAAGATCTTCCCTTTCCTCTTCTGGCTTCCAGTGGCCTTGGGCACTCCTTGGCTTGCGGCTGCATCAGTCTGTTCCTGCTTCCATCTTCCCAAGGCCTCTCCCCTCTCACTTATGAGTCTCTCCTCTGCATATCTGTGATGAGGACATTTATTATTATATTTAGAGCCCACCTGGATAATCCAAAATGATCTCATCCTGACACTCTTCACTGAATTATATCTGCGGAGTCCTTATTTTCCAAATAGGGTCACACTCACAGGTTCTGGGCTTTAGAACATGAACGCAGCCTTTGCGTTTGGGAAGGGAGCGCTAGTCAGCCCTTTCTGGAGGGTTCTTATGATCAGGTACTTGGCAACGTCCTCAGATGCTCAGTGAGGTCGCACCTGCAAGCAAAGCCCCCGGTTCTAGTCCTGACAGCAAAGGTGATCGCCCTGGATCTTGGACCTCAGTCTGCTCATCTGCAGAATGGCTAGATGAGCTCGAGGGTTTCTTCCTTTTGGCACATTCCCAGAGCAGATCCTGTGGGTCCCTCGGCATCTGTGCTGCTGATTTGGATCTACTCCAGGGCTTCACAAATATACATATCTGTATACATACAACATATAGTTTATTGTAGTTAAATATACATAACATAAAATTCACCATATTAACCTTTTCATTTTGTTTTGAGTCAGGGTCTTGTTCTGTCACCCAGGCTGGAGTGCAGTGGCACCATCATGGCTCACTGCAGCCTTGACCCGCTTCAGCCTCCTGAGCAGCTAGGACTGCAGATGTGCACCACCACGCCCAGCTAACTCTTGTAGTTTCTTGTAGAGACAGAATCTCATTATGCTGCCCAGTCTGGTCTCAGACTTGTGGGCCCAAGCAATCCACCTGCTCAGCCTCCCAAAATGCTGGGATTACAGGCATGAGCCACTGTGCCTGGCCCCACTTTAACCATTTTTAAGAGTGAAATTCAGTGGCACTAAGCACTTTCACATGGTTAATGCAGCCATCACCCATTACCCATATCATCTTTCACAAAGAGGAAACAAGATCATTCTCAGGCTCTGGGACCTCAGGGTGTCCATCATGGGTAGATCGTCTTCTGGATGATGTCTCCACCACAGAGTTCACATCCTGGTGGAGATGCAAAGATCAGGATGTCAGAAAGGAGGCAGACAGGTCTGGGAACAGCGGCGAACCCACAGCAATACCTCCAGCTCCTCCTCCTGCAGGCTCTGCCCCATCTTGTTGCCATGTCATCTCCTTGCTGTCCACCCATGCTCTTTTTTCCCCTCTGGACCAGCGGTTCTGAAAGTCTGGTCCCTGGACCAGCAGCATCAGCACCTCCTGGGAGCTTGTTAGAAAAGCACATTCTCTGTGTCCACGCCCTACCCACTAATCAGAAATGAGGGTGCCGCATGGTGGCTGTTTCACAGCCCTCCTGGGATTCTGATCCATACTAAAGTGTGGGAAGCACTGCTCTGGATCTGCAGAGAAATCCTGCTTTCAAAGAACTCGCTAACGCCCCTACAAAACTACAATTTTTGTGACTAGAAGCTCTATGAATACCTGAAACAAGGAAGCCGACAGATTTAGTAAGATCATGCAGGTCATGATGGCAAATGGGCTGCCCGAAGGCAGGGCTTTCCCCTGGGTGTCTGCATTTGTCCTGCACACGTTTGAGAACATTTAATTAGTTGTCAGTGCTAAAGAAATAGGAAATATCACCCAGAAATTAAGATTTCGGTATTATTTGAAATAATACTGTCTGGCACTCCTGGCCAGGCATGGGCAACCATGATTTGATGCAGGGTCTGCCAGGCAGCCCAAGTCCCCCCACTCCCCAAGGCAAGCCCGCCTGGTGAGCCCCCCATTTTTATCTGCACTGACTACTATAGGGCCTTCGAGTTGTCAACCTCTCGAAGGTTTGGGGGGGCCATAAACTGTAGCCCACTGTGATGGTTAATGTTACATGTCAGCTTGGCTAGGCCATGGCATCCAAATATTTGGTCAAACACTAGTTTAGATGTTGTGAAGATAATTTCTTTTAGGTGAGAGTAACAGTTAAATCAGTGGACTTTGACAAAAGCAGATTGCCCTCCATAATGTGGGTGGTCTCCATTATGTGGGTGGGCCTCGTCCCATCAGTTGAAGGCCTTCAGAGTAAAAAGACTGACTCCCTGGAGGAAAGGGAGTTCTGCCAGCCTCCACAGTCACATGAGCCAATTCCTGAAAATAGGCGTCTCTCTCTCTCTCTCTCTCCATACATGCACACACACAAACACACACACACAAACACACACATCCCAATGGTTCTATGTCTCTGTAAAACCCTGATGAACACCCCCACGCTGTGAGTATTATTATTTGTTGGTGCCCCTGGACCATTCAGGGACCAAGAGTTGTAAGAACTCTTCTTCTGTTTGCTGGCAGCTCTTAGGAATACATGCTTATTGGCCAGGCACAGTGGCTCAAGCCTGTAATCCCGGCCCTTTGGGAGGCCGAGGCGGGTGGATCACAGTCAAGAGATCGAGACCATCCTGGTCAACATGGTGAAACCCCGTCTCTACTAAAAAATACAAAAACTTAGCTGGGCATGGTGGCGCGTGCCTGTAATCCCAGCTACCCGGGAGGCTGAGGCAGGAGAATTGCCTGAACCCAGGAGGCGGAGGTTGCGGTGAGCCAAGATCGCGCCATTGCACTCCAGCCTAGGTAACAAGAACAAAACTCCGTCTCAAAAAATAAAAAGGAACACATGCTTATTCAAACCATGCCCTCAGAGATGGAGGCTGCAGAGCTAATGAGTAGTGGTATAATAATAATAAGAAATAAATAATCCATAAAAATCAACAGTGATGTTTATTAATAATAACCCTAATTGTTGAGTGTTTATTCTATACCAGACACCATGCTAAATGCTTTCTTTTCTTTTTTTGAGATGGAGTCTCACTCTGTTGCCCAGGCTGGAGTGCAGTGGCGCCATCTTGGCTCACTGCAAGCTCTACCTCCCAGGTTCAAGCAATTCTCCTGCCTCAGCCTCCTGAGTAGCCAGGATCGCAGGCGCCCGCAACCATGCCCAGCTAATTTTTTTATTTTTAGTAGAGATGGGGTTTCACCATGTTGGCCGGACTGGTTTCAAACTCCTGACCTTGGGTGATCTGCCCGCCTCAGCCTCCCAAAGTGCTGGGATTACAGACCTGAGCCACCACAGCTGGTCAAGGCTTCCTTTTAATTAAATTTCATTTAATCTTTGGAGTAGTCTTATGGCACTGGCCTATCGTCATCAGACTTATTTTCCCGATGGAATAGTCACAGAAAGGAAGTAACTTGCTCAAGGTCACCTAGCTCATGAGTGGCAAGAACAAGATTTGAACCCAGAGTCAGACTTCAGGTCTTACGTTCACTAACCACTTTACCATACTGCCATGCTAGAGTATGGACTTCACCCTGAATTGCCCAAATGACAGCATGCAATAGAATCAGTCCTCTGGGGGCAAAGACATCTGAGAACTTGCATTGTGGTTCAGGCAGTCCTTGGATTTCTGATTGTCATGTTTAGCTGTACTGGTCGTGCGCTACACAATTGTGCTCAGTGGTACCAATGCAAATACTGCCGTAGGCAATGGAGAGAAAGGTAGCTGATATTCCTAACCTGTCCTGGAGGTAGAGAGAGGGGCTGGTATAGTCACACAATGGAACACTTTACAGCAATAAAAAGGAACAAAGAACACGTGAAACATTATGGATGAATCTAAAAATATTATCATTGAGAAAAAGGCACCAAACAGCACGTATTATATTACTCCATTTATAGTGGAGAAAACTGGTGGATACCAAGTTAGCCATGTGATCAGGGTAACATCATTAGCAATAAGACATAGCAATATCATGAGCCCTTTGATATAGGGACATACATTAGTTTAATGGTATTCTTGCCAAAAATGCATACTCTCACTCCAATCATGAGAAAACACTGAACAAACCCAAACTGAGGGATATTCTACAAAATTACTACCAGTACTCTTCAAAAGCATTAAAGTCAGTAGAGGCAAGAAAAGGCTGAGGAACTGTCACACACCACAGGAGACAAAGGAAAAATAAGAACGAATGCAGCATGGGATCATGAACAAAATTCCACAACAGCAAAAGGACATTTTTAGAAAAACTGGTAAAATTTAAGTAAGACCTGCTGTTTCGTTAACTACTGTTAACTGAAATTCACCAGTGCTAATTTTCTTGTAATGGTTCTGTGGTGATGTCGGATGCTAGGGGAAGCAGGCTGAAGAATATAAGGGAATGCTGTACTATTTTTTGCAGCTTTTCTCTAAAAATAAAATTAAACTAATTTAAAATTAAAAGTTAAAAGCAAAAACAACCCAATAAGCCAGGCAATGAGCTACCTGGCTCCATTTCCTCTGTGCTCAGTGGACCCTGGAAAGGAGGGAGCAGAGTCCTGGGCCAGTCAGGTAAACCACGGGTAGGACTTGCTTCTCTGACCAGACCTAGCCCCTTTCCCAGACACCAAGCAACTCACTGGACTCTTTCACCTCAAAGACAGTCTGTGCTGTCAGCCAGCTGCCTCCCATGGGCCACCAGTGCCACCACACTGAAGGAGCCGTGGAGCTGCCTGGAAAAGTCAACCGAGAATTAGACACAACGATTTGGTTCTACAAGAAGAGGAACCCTTGGTCGTGGGATTCAGCCTTCAGGCTAATTAGCATTTATGGATGAAAGCTTCCACTCAAGAATAGGTTGATTGGGAATGCTTTTCCAGAGGCTTTGAAATACAGCCAATGAGGACATTTTTAAGTTCTCACTTTTCCACCAGAAGACGGCTGTGCTCCCTGGTTTCAGGAGGGCGCTGGGCTGGTGTGTGGACGTGTTCAGGTGCTGTGGCCTCTCTTTGAGTTGCCTTCCTAGTGAGCTGTGGGGATGAAGGGATGGGGGGCTCTGTCTCAGCCCAAGGAGGATGTCAGCCTCGCCAGAAAGAGGAAGAAGGCAGCAAGAGGACCATCTCTCTGTGGCTAAGAGATGCGCCTGCTGTCTCCTTCTGCACAGGGACTAGCGATGGGCTTGATGTGCCTGCCTCTTCCCTCCCTGTGACCCCCATCCCTCCATCCCCACCCGGGACCACAGCATCTTGTGTTTGGCACCTGAGCCTTCTGGTTTCCAGTGGGCTCTGGGTGGTCACCAGGCCTCCTGATGGGCCTCCCTTGCTTGACACAGGGTGGGAGAGCAGTGATTGGACCTGGGCCCCAAGGGCTGGGCACCCTCCTTGGCCGGGCACTCCCATGGGCTGGACACTCCTGTTGGCTCAGCACCCCTGTTGGCTCTGCACCCCTGTGGCCTGAGCCTCTGCTAGGAGTCCAGGCCCCTCTTAGGCAAGGGCGTTGAAACTGACCTCACAGGGGAAACGTTTGTGCCCCTTTCTTGTTCCTTTCAACCCCCCAGAACTATTACTTGGAAGAAGTATGGGCAGATTCCACTACGTAATGACCAGTCTGAGTGCCTAGAAGTGCATATTTGAAACTTGGGGATCCTCTTGAGTCTTAAGGATCCCTGGATAATCAGCTCAAAACGCCACAGAGAAGCAACTGATCTCCTTCCCTGAGAAATCACTCAGATCCTCTTCTCCATGGATTTCAAAAGACATGCTGTCTCCTTCCATTTCAATCTCACATTTCTCACTTGATTCTAGAACTTTCTTGTGCACTTCAGTCTCAGCTTCTCCCAGAACCCAACCTAAGGTTAATTGTTTGGGGCTTTCGTGGTTGGTGGGGTTTTCCCAGAAGCAGGCCCTGCAACAAGAATGTTGAAGATAAACATTTGATTTGGGAGGTGACCCCAGGAAGCCATGGTATGAAGACTGGGATTGATCAGGTGACCGCCGTGGGTGACTGAGGCTCCAGCGCTGAGGATTCTGGGGCAATGCCTGCGATAGTCACATGCGTTATCATACACTGTTGCACACAGTTTGGACACCCTCAATGGCTGAAGCTGTACATGGGTGAGGTGAGCTTAGGTGAGGAGACATGGGTGCTGGCAGCCAGGGTGAGTTTATGCTCCCTGATGTGGCATGGCCTGAGGGCATGGGTAGGCACTGCCTGCAGCCCCTACACATCCTGGACAGGGGGAACACAGCCTATCTAAGACTGGAATAAGATTGTTCAAACTGTACCATGTGGCAGGAGCCAGGGCTGAAATGGAAAAGAAGATTCCAAAAGGCTCTCTCTAGAGAAGGCTGGAAAGCAGAGCTGGATGGGAAGTGAGAGAAGGTTTATTATAACTCAGCACAAGCCCATCCCATCCACATTCCAGGCAAATCCACCCTGTGGAAACAGGTTGTCCTGCCACGCGGCCCAGCCGCAGCAGGGCTCTGGGTGCCAAGAGCCTGGGCTGGAGCTTAGAGGATGTGGAGGTTCTGGGGGCTCCTGAGTTTGTCTCGGCCCCCACAAAGCTGTCCTGGCTGTGATTCCCAGAGAACCTCACTGCATAAAGCTGCCCTTTTTCTTTCCTTCCTGTGAATAGCACCAAGCCATTTTGAAACAAGAATTCCTTAAAATAGTTTTTGTTTAAAGAAACAAGAAGCGCCATCTCTTGATCTGCTGTAATTTAACAGCAGTCAGCCAGTGAGCAGAAGCTTCTTTCAGCTTCAGGGCCTGAGGCTTGCAGGGGTCCCCCAGACCTCACCCGCCAGGGGAGCTGCTTTCTCATAGGCACATCCCCCAAATGCTCCGGACACTAGATGGTGTTTTTATAGGGTTCTGTTTCCCTATGTTGTGAAGTTATTATTGCAGAAATGAGAGGATGCTTTTGCAAATGGCCAGAAGCCTGCACTTCCTAGGGGTGTCCTCTGGAGTCACCCTGAGCCACTGAGCAGCACCGTCTGATAGAACCTTCTGCAATGATGAAACGTTCTTGCACGTCTACACTGTTCACTACAGCAGCCACGTGTGGTCGCTGAGCATGCAACATGTGGGTACCGTGACTAAGGAATTAAAAGTTTAATTTCATTTAAATCGAATTAAATATTTACACATAATCACATACGGCTACTGACGTGGGCAGTGCAGCTCATGAGCAAAGGACACCCTGAACTTGGGCTGCCTCTGGATGGGGCTGAGTTTGGGACGAGGTATATGCACAATTACACGGGTGCCCCTGGTGTGTCACACACCGCTGGAGTCCAGACAGAAAGCAGCAGTGGCTTCTTCTCCAGCTGAAGTCTTTTCTAGGATTGAGTCCAAGTTGCAAAGGTTTATGCCCTTGCCCTTGGCCTGGGGTGATGACCTTGACCCTGGTCATCGGAGCAGGCAGGAAGAGCTCACAATTTAGTGTCTGCTAGTGTCAAGAGCTTTCATGCAAGCGTTCTTCACCTCTGGGATACTTGGCTTGGGGGTTGTGTATTTACCCCCACCCCCAGTCTCGGGGAAGAAACTGAGGCTCAGCAAATGTCGGTGCTCTGCCTAAGCTTCTCAGTGCAAAAGTGGTCAGGTCAGGATTTGAACCTAGGTTCACTGAGGTCCATGATTCCTGGCACTCACTGTTGTGCTTTTTCCTTGGAACTCAGTGCTGCTGCCCCGAACTTTCTCCCACACATTTTCTCGCGGTTCCTGAGTAACCAGACATTCAGTGGGCTCTGGTTGCTGGGACACCAGAGTTGCGAGGTCAGCACAGGGGACTGCTCACTCTGGTCCCATGACGATGGACTCATGACCATTCACAGCAACTCCAGCCTTGATCTCCCACCCCCACTACTGCCCATGAATCTCATGTTAAAAATAACGAAGAACGACAAGAACTGGGGCATGGCAGTCAGAGGGACAGCATATGTTTTCCATTTTCTTCTT